GAGAAAGTGTTATAGTCTTATAGGTTAGATATAGCCGCGGTAATAAATTTAAGGCTCCGCTATATTATAAAAAGTGGGTTATATAGTAGAGGATTATATAATCTAACCTACCTACATATACTTCACATCCTCTATCCGATTAGCTAAGGAGACTTATTAGAAGTAATAGAGTAAGTAATAAAGTCTTACTAACGAAACTAAAGAGATAAATTTATTAATGAGATTCGTTAGAAGTAATAGAGAGAATAATAAAGTCTTATAGGTTAGAGATAGAAAAGAGATTTAAAGATAACTATAGGGTCTAAATTTATATTTATTTATCTATATTGTTATATTTTATTAATGTCCTATAGGGTAACCTAAATAGTAAAGATATCTATATTACATTAGATAAGGATAGTGCYRGATRTTATAGATAGAGAGTGTAATTTAATATATATTTATCTCGAGAATAGTTCGTTATTCTTCTAGGACCTAACCGTTTATAAGTTAAAGTGAGTAGGGGCGTGTGGGAGAATACACTAATAATACTCCTATATATATAAAAGGTAGGTAAGGTATTGTGTAGTATTAAGTTCTTATCTTATTATAATTATTATAATAGAAAATATATATATAGCTTAGGTAAGCGGGACTCGACTATAAAACTATTAAGTCTATCGCTCTATTTATAATAAAATAAGAATTTAACACTAGATAACACCTTACCTACCTTTAATATAGGTGAGCGTATATATATATATATATAAAGGACCGATTATTAGTATCTATTTATATCTATTTATATTAAATAGCTAAATGTAATTAGAAGAAGGGATAATCTAGTATCGAGGTTATTGCCTTAAGATAACTTTATAAATATATATATACCTAACTATCACGAAGTAAGCTATCTTAGAATAATATAACTATCGATTATTATAAACGTAGAAGCTCTTCTTAAAAGAAGGAGCTAATACACCTATAATATTATAAGGTAACGATAAAAGAGAAAAGACGAAACTAATAGTATTATTATTATTAAATATAATTCTATATTCTATACTAACYRGAAGTRGAATTATAGTRTAAGGTCTCCTATCTTTTAGTATAAAACACTATAAATAAAGAGAAACATTTTATTAGAGAGAAAGTAGTAAATAGATATTAATATAGTAGGCCGCTAGATAATAGTAAGTATATCCCTCCTATTTAGCTTTCGATATAGTTCGGCGTTAAGCGAGCTAGGTGTACCTAGTAGTGTATAGATATAAACGTTATCGGCACCTCCCTAACGCTATACCCTTACTATAGATTGCTCGAATTCCTTTAGTGAGTATATAGAGCCGACRATAACTAGCCTAGAAGCTAGTCTTTATAGTCCGTCGAGACCTAGGCCTATTATCTTATAYRTAGAGAATACGACGATATTTCTACTATAATCTACTCTAGAGAGGCGCGCGACTATATCTATACGCTCTCTAGCGGTAGAATTCGATACTAAGAGTAAGTAGACATTGTAGGTATCTAAGGCGAATCTCTTAAGCTAGCAATATAAGACTACGCTTATAAGCGGTTGGCTAGAGAGGACTAGCGAGTGCGTGGGAGTATCCGCGCTTCTCTATAACACTAATTATTAGAGACGGTCTATAATAAGATAGCTAGCGCTCTTAATTTACCGGAATAGCGGGTAGGAGTTAACGTTTTTAGCGGTGTCGATTTTTTTAGTGTCGATAGTAGAGATATTGTCCCTAATTATAGCGCCGTTATCTAGCATATAGATGCCTAGGACTACACTATATATAGCTAGCGCTACCCATTTACTAGTAGTTACTAGTTGCCTCTTAACGTCGACGTCGCTATTAGTAGGGTCTTTCCTCCTCCTACTTCCGCTCTACTGCTCCTAAAGTCGCCGATAGCGGCTATCGATAGCGGCGCGTAGCTCCTATATGCGAGCTTAATAGCGCGGCTCTAAGGCTATATACTCGACGGGGTGCTTTATTAGGGCCCCTCTAGGGTTATAGATCGTAGTGCCCCCTACTTATTGACTAAAGCGTCGCTATATAAAGTAGGGCGCGNATATACGAGCTTAATGGCGCGGCTCTAGGGCTATATACTTAACGGGGTGCTTTATTAGGGCCCCTCTAGGGTTATAGATCGTAGTGCCCCCTACTTATTGACTAAAGCGTCGCTATATAAAGTAGGGCGCGAGTACGTCTAGGGCAATCGCCCGCTATATATTCATTTAGATATTAGCAACGTTAATAGCGGCTTAGATATTAGTAGTATCCCCCCGGCCCTCTATTATATTAAGTTCGCTAAGCGCCTTATTGGCGGCGTTATACGCCGCAATTAGTGGGTTAACCGTGTTAGACGTTATTCTAGCTATAATGAGGTAAAAAATCCCTTCTATATCGGTAGGACCCTTAGCCATTAGCGTGCCGCTAAGGAGAAGCGTGAGGTAGATATTAGTATTAGAATATATACCTATTATTATAAGGTAGCGGATAATATTGCTTTTAATCGACTTAGCTTCTATCTACTCGTCGTAGATTATAACGCTAGGGAGAAAGCTAAGCGGGATTCTCACGCCCCTTACTTAGACGCGGTCACACTAGAGCTATTTAGCATAACGTGTAGTGGCTTTTTCGAGGTTATTATTACCCGTGTTCTTACGTCTAGCAACGAGGACTAGTCGCTCCTAGCCCACGGTATGCTTGCTTTCTAAGGTGATATAGAAGTTGTAGTCCCTCTCGAGATTGTCCCTAGCCTTCTTATCCAGTAAGTACGTACCCGTTCCGCTATCCTAGACGATAGGACCCCCCTTATTGCTACTATAGCCTAGCTTGCTATACGGGGGCAGTCGCGCGCTAGGAACCTAGCGGGTTGTTATAGCGTCCGCGGCGACGCCCTTAATATATGCGCTAACTAGCTCGGCGATAGTAAGGAGCGCTTAGGGTATATAGACACTCCTATCCTTTAGCGTGACATTAGGCGCCAGGGTGTCTTAAAGGACCCTTACCTATTATAGCTTAATGCTAGCCTCGGCTATTACTAGTTACGGGCCCCTATAAAGACGCCTAACGGCTAGGGCGGTAAAGCCGGTAGGGATATAGGCGCATTAGATACTAAATTAGGCGCTCTAGGGATAGCTATCGTTAGTAGTATAGCGGTTAGGGTTCGCCGTATAGTAGTCGTAAGAGAGGAAGCACGTCGCCACTATATAGACCACTAGAGAGCCTATTACCGACTTGCCTATACYRGGCTTAGCGTAGTGGAATGCGCCATTCTAGTCGTCCTTATAGCCCGCGATAAAGATTATCTTAAATGCGTCGAGCACCTACCACGTATATAGGGCGAAATGGTCGAGTCTCTATCTAGGAAGCTAGATATATAAGCGGCTATCCCGCGGCGTATAGTCACTAACTAGC